TCTCCTCAGCCGCTGGCCATAGGGCTTCGGCTTTAACACGGGATTCTTTTTTAGCCCAGCTGCGTCCCGTTAAGGCCAGGGTCTGTGCCAGCAACGCCGCCCCAAGCCACCCGGCTCTCTGTCTCCTGCAGCCAGACGCTGCCTCTGGATTTACTCCCAGCACCTCCGACAGCAGAGCTGAGTCACTCCAGCGTCAGTGAAAGGTCTGGAGTTGGCGAGCCTGTCCTCGCCTGGGAGCAGACGAACCGAGCCAGGAGGTCTGGGTCTCATCTGGCACAGCTTGTGCATCTCTAGTGACTTCAAGGAAATCACTCCGATGCCTTCAGTGGGTTCCTACTAGTTTGTACGTGTGTATTTTACTAAATAACCGAGGATCAGAGCAGCAATGCTGTGGTGTCTAGCGGTTAGAGCAAAGAATTGCTTTTCCTGTTCCCAGTTTTGGGCCAGAAGGGGAGTGGGGTGGAGTGGTTTAGAGTGCGGGAGAAGGCTGGGAATCAGGACTCCTGGGTTCTATTCCTGGCTTGCTTTGTGGCCACGGCCGAGTCATTTCCCCACCTGTAAAGCCGCGCTAATGGTCTTGCCCCTCTGTTTTCAAGCGTGTCACATCCTCGCCAGCCAGCAGCAGTCAGGGAACATGCTGCACGCGCTTTGCCACATCTGCTACAAGCCTGGGGGAAGCCCTGCTCCTAATCCACCACTAAGCTCCATTCCTGGGAACCAAATTCCCAGCTCCCACATGCAGCCGGGGCTACAGCTGGGCTGCTCCTCAAGGCACTCAGATGCAATAGCCCATGTGCGGGAGCCACATGTGAAGACCTCTTTGGTTCTCAGGAATTGGCTTCTGTCAGTTACGAATGTCCTTTCACTTTCATGTGCTGAGGGTGCCTCTGGCACTGATGCATTTAGGGTCATAATTTTCTAAAAGGGCTCCTGATTTCGGGGGCCCAACCGAAGACCCCCTTAAAGGGGCCTGATTTTTAGATATTCAGAATAACCCCTAGCTCTCGGAATCGGCTCATCTCGAGGAGGGAGAGATTTAGAGATGCCGTGGAGAGAAGGACAAGTTAGTTCTCACGGGGGAGAACCTGGAGCACGAACGGGACGACTTCGCGGTCCCAGCTCCGGGCATAGGCGCCAACTTCGTGGGTGCTCCAGGGCATGGAAAAAAATGAATGAGTGCTGAGCACCCACCAGCAGGCCCCTCCTCCCCTGCCTGAGAGAGCCTGGCGGGGGAGGTGACTCCCGCTTCCTGCCCGGGCTCGGGTGCTGGGGTCCACGGTGGCCCAGCCAGGCGGGGAGCAGAAGCCACCTCCTCCCCAGCCAGGCTCGCCCAGGCAGCTCCTGGCGAACAGGGAGATCAGCAGAACATGCCAGGACGGCAGGCACAGCGGGAGGACAAAGCGTCTGTCCCCGTCCCCTCTGTCATTCAGTCCCAGCTTCTGGCAGTCAGCGGTTTAGGGACACCCAGAGCATGGGGTTGAGTCCCTGAGCATCTTGGCCAATAGCCACTGATGAACCTGTCCTCCAGGAACTTACCCAGTTCTTTTTTGAACCCAGTGATACTTTTGGCCTTCACAGCATCCCTTGGCAAGGAGTTCCACAGGTGGACTGTGCGCTGGGTGAAGAAATAGTTCCATTTGGTTTAAACCTGCTGCCTATTAATTTCATTGGCTGACCTCTGGTTCTGGTGTTATGCGAAGGGATAAATAACACTTCCCCAGTTACTTTCTCCACTCCGGCCCCAATTCTGTAGGCCTCTGGCCTACCCCCTTTGTCATCTTTTTTCCAAGCTGAACAGTGCCAGGCTTTTAAATCTCTCTGCTTATGGAAGCTGTTCCCTACCCATCTGCAAAAATAACCCTTCATACTATAGTGCTACTATAACTTAGCTGGTCCGCTCTTTTGGGACATCTTTCTACTCTGTCTTTGTACAGCACCTGGCACAATGGGGGCTAGGCCATGTCTGAGGCTTCTCGGTGCTATCCCAAAATTAAGAATAAGCATCAGGAAAAGGAATATATCCCAGATGTCCTGAACACCTGTCCTCTCCTCTAACCTCTAGTCTCCATTCCCTTCCAGCCCCAGGATGGGAACCCAGGCATCCTGCGTGCCAGCCGCCTCCTCTCATTGCTTGTTCTCGCCTGTTGAGTCCCTTCTTGCTGCCCAGCTCCAGGCTGGCCGGCCATCCAGCCGAGCGACCAGGCTGCAGCGTTTCCTGATGGCTTCACGCGCCCCAGGGACAGAGCGAGTGGGAAAGCGTGACCGGCTGAGCCTGGTTTGTAGCTTGCCTGTGATCTCAACCTGCTGACAGACCCATGGCGGTATCTCTGTGTGTGCGTCCCTCACAAAGGCGAGGTCGAAATGGTTCAGCCAACCTCATTCATAGACCTAAGGGGCTTTGATAAGCTCGGGGGACTTCCTAGCTTAATGACCTCCTAATCAAAGCCTGGGCAAATGGCTAAAAGCCAAGGAAACCTACAGGAAACTGACCCCGAAGAGTTCGTTAGACTGAGCCGTGGCTGCTAGGGGTTAAGAGGCAGCGGGACTGCACTGAGAATTCGAAGTGGGCTGAAAATCCCCATCCACCCACCCACCCACAAGGCGGTCAACAGAAACAAATATTTTTTGAACAAGCTTCTCAGACTCCCCAAATGTTCTTTTTGCGGCAGCCAAAAGCCGACATTTTTTCAGTGTAAAACAGATACCGAAAACTCAGCTCTGTTCAATAATACTATGAAGAAACTGAGGGTGGGGGGAGTGGCTTGCCCAAGGTCAGCCGATGGCAGACCCTGGACTAGAACCCTGGGTTCTTGAGTCTCAGGCCACTAGGCCACACTGCCTCTAAAACAGCATGTGATAAAGACGGCTCCCAATGATGCACACAAGGGGGGGCAGCATTAAGGTTATGGGGACATCCTTAAACCTGGTGATTGGTAACAGCTGCGTGCTTGTCTTTGCAAGCTCCATAAGGTTCTTTTAGTGTCACTTTTGGGGGATGTGATTAACTACAACAAAAGGAAAGGAGGGGAGGGACTAAGACTCCCCCACCTGCCAAGCAGGAGATACCCAAGAGGCAGGTTAGTGGGTAAGGTGGCCATATTTGTTCTGGGCATGGGGTTCTGAAGCTAGGAGCTAGGTGGGGAGAAGGTTAAAGGATGAGGCAGCCATGTTTGTTGTGGGCATGGGGCTCTGAAGCCAGGACCTAGGTGGGGAGAAGGTTCAAGGCTAAGACAGCCATGTTTTTTGTGGGCGAGGGGTTCTGAAGCCAGGAGCCAGCTGTTTTCCAAAGCAGATATGCTGAGGAACTAAAGGCAAAGGCCATTTTCATGGCAGCACCAGAGTATGGATCTGGGGGACCAGGCCACTGAGTCTAGAGCTGGGCAAACAGATTTTTTTTCAGCCCACTGGCAATTTCAAAAAGTCCGGGGGCGGGGACAGAATCATTTGGAGTCAAATCAAAAATGAAAATTTGCGACCAATTGAAAAGTTGGGGAGAAAACGAGGGTTGGGTCAAATGCCCCGTTTCATGACATTTACATTTTTCACAAAATGTACTTTTTGCCAAAATTTTTGGCCAGCTCTGACCAGGTCCCCATTGCACGGAGCCCAGCTAGAGTCTCTTCAGAGGTGCCTTTGCATCCTGTTCTGTTGTCTCCAAGCCCCTTCGCCAACACGAATGCCAGCAGCAGTTGTGTGATCAGTAGCTGGCTGATGATATCCAGGGCAGGGACGGGGTGTCAGCTCTGGGCTGAACCGCAAACCCGCCCCCAGCAAGGAAAAAGCTCCATCACCCATTCCCCTGATCCACCCAGTCCCTTTCATAGCAGCTGATTACGAGCCCGTAGCACCATCACCCCACGGCTCCTCCAGTGCAGGGCTTGAGGAGACAGAGGAGGTGAGCGTTGACTCGAGGGAGACACACAAGGTTCATGCACTTTGCTGTGAAGGAACTGATGCACCAGCTGACAGTATCAAACCAACTCCTTCCCGGGGAAACCTCTTGCAGCAGGGTGGAAACTGAACGCCCAGCGTGAAGGGAGATGATCTCTGACCACCACACGGTTGACCAGTGACTCTTGATTCCAAAGCTGCAGCATCCTGTTCCAGCAGGTCACAGGGTTCCCGGGATCCTCTGGGACACTCAGCAGGTTGAAATATTTGGAGAAGGGGAAGCAGCAGGGGATGGAGCGCTCTGGGATGCACGCAGGAGGAATACAGAGCACGAGTGGCTTCTGCCCATGGTGAGTGACAGGGGTTGGGAGGGAACGCCGGGCCCCCGACCACCAGCAGAGCAGGATTATTGTAACCAGGCGCCCGCAGCCAACCTGACACTTCTCCATGCGCTTTCTGCAGCCTGGGACAGGCCGGATGGGCCCACTGCGCTGGCGGGCATTGAGTCATGGGAAGGCAGGACACCTGGGTTCTATAGCCCTGGATAAGCGATCTAAGGGCTTGGGGAAGAGTCCTTCTGCTCGAGCTCCACAGATCAATTTCCCTGTGTAGACGGGGGGGCTTTAGCAGCCCAGGCCTGTCCCACTCGGCGGTGCAGGGGGGAGGACTTGGCAAGGTCTGAGAAGCACTCGAGAGGCCCTCGGGGATGGGACAAAGTGTTAGCTCAAGGAGCAGATGGAAGCAGCATCATGCAATGCTTGAACACAGCACTGGGACCCAGGCGACCTGCGTTCCTGTCCCAGCTCTGCCTCTGCGTGGGAGGCCATAGGCGCGCTCCTTTCCCGTCTCCGTGCCTCGGTTTCTCTTGCTGTAAAAGAGAGAGGAGGCTGCCCCGAGGTCTACGGCTGGCAAACACAAAGCACCGTTCATAAGGCTCGGTGACAGAGCAGGCTAAAGGCTGAGCTGATGCTTCAGATCCATCTGTGGTGGGGGACGACAGAGCTGGCAGGAAAACAGGAGGGGGAGTTATGGCCACTCGGGGCAAGCGATCTGCTGGGGGGCAGGAGGAGGAGGGCAGGGCCGGGACACAGGAGTGGCCAGCTAGCCCGCAAGGCTTATAATAATTACTTTATTTTAACATCTTTAATTACAGACAGTAAAATAGCTCGAGAGGTGGTGGTGGAGGGTGGGCTCCTGGATCCGGTGGTGTGCACGGAGACACCCAGGGGCATTGGAGGCATCTGCTGTTGGCTTGCGCACATGGCACAAAAGGCTCTACCTCGAGGAGGTGCCCGACGCTCCCCAGGCTGAGAGAAGGGGGCAACGGTGGGGGGGAGGGGCAAGTGGGGTAAAGCACCCCAAGAAATCCAGTCTGCTGCCCCCCCTCCCACTGCCCCTGCCACACACACATCCTCCCCCCCCCACTCCTGGCATGAGTTGGAGGCTGGGCCTCTGCCAGCCCAACACCCACACACCTATTGCTTATTTGTAAGGCTAAGATTAGGCTGCGGATTCCAGCACTTCCCAAGACGTCCGTGACATTTTCCGCTTCAGCCCTTGGGCGGTGGGACTTCAGCTGTCAGCCAGCAGGGGGCCCCCTGGAGCGCCAAGCTGCCATGGGGGGTCCCACATCTCCCAGCCGCCGTGGACCTCCCCGCTTACCTTCCCCGCCGCAGGGCTCAGGCTCTCATCATCCATCCCCCCCGCCCCTCCCCCCCGGGTCAGCCCCATTTTGTCACCGTTCTGTTGAGCGAAAGCCAGGGACGGGGCACTGGCTTCTGTGAATTTCTGTTTATTGCCTGTGACCCGTCCCTGGCTTTTACTGAACAAACCATGACAAAATCTTAACCCTACTTCTTTCTTTGTGGACCGGCTGGAGGCAGACGCCCAGGGACACAGCACGTCTCATGGGGAGGGAGGGGCGTATGCTGCCCCTGTCCTCTGCAGCAGGGAGCTACAAGCTCACAGGGGATCTAGAAGAGGGGCACCCCAGGGTGAGAGAGCTCCTGTGAGACGGATAGCTGGGGGTCCTGGGACCCAGATCCCAGCAGCCAGGGGTCCTGGGAGACAGATCCCAGTATTTGAGAGCTCCCAACAGACTGGCAGGCAGAGGTCCCGGGGCCCAGATCCCAGCAGCCAGGGGTCCCAGGGCCCAGATCCCAGTATTAGAGAGGTCCTGTGCGACTGGTAGCCAGGGGTCCCAGGGCCCAGATCCCAGTATTAGAGAGGTCCTGTGCAACAGGTAGCCAGGGGTCCCGGGTCCCAGATCCCAGCAGCCAGGGGTCCCAAGGCCCAGATCCCAGCAGCCAGGGGTCCCGAGGACCAAGTCTCAGTATTAGAGACCTCGTCAGACTGGCAGCTGGGGATCCCAGGCTCAGATCCATCAACCATAGAATGCCTCCAGGGATGTGATCAGGGATCCCTACTGGGCCGAGCTCTCACCCCACCTCTCTGAGCTGTGCCAGCGAGTGCCTCCAAAGCTGGTGAAAGCAGAGCCCTGCCTGCCCACCCTGGGTTTCTGATGCAGAGGAAGAGGACGACTAGGGATGGGACCCACCCCCCGCCTGACACCTTGCTTCTGCTTGTGACCTGATCCTAACCTCTGACCCCACCTAGCCCCCTCGCCGCTCCTGAAACCCCCAAGCCCAGAGACCACTGGCGGAGACACGCCTCAAAGCCAGAGCACTTGGGGAAGGGAGGGGAGGCCTCCACGCTCCACCCTGCAAGCCAATACCGTCTGCTGGGAGAGATCGGGCCGCGGACAGAGCCGGCTTGGGCCCAGCGGCCTCTCTGCTCCAGGCCGGAGTCTGAGCGAGGCCTGGGAATAAATACAATCTTTCCAATATATTAAAAAAAAAAATACTCCTTGCTAATGCTCTGCCTCTCAGCTGTGCAGCACCAGCTCACGGCAACACTACAAATGGGCTCGGTGTGGGGGGGGGGGAGAGAACCACGGCAACACCCCCCCTCCCCCGGCCCTCGTGATGGACGCTCCGGCGCCTGGCCAGCCCGGGCTGATGGCGGAAGAAAGTAAAAAGGCCGAGGGGCCGTCTCTGCCTAGCATGGGGGGCCTCCAGGTGGGGGCGGCGGTGACAGGGGAGGTTACATCATCCCCAGCTGGAGGAGGGTGTTGGCGTAGGCCATCGGTTTGACGTTCGGGTGAGGCTGAAAGAGAAGAGGTGGCCAGGTTAGGGCCCGGCGGGGCTCTGGGGGCAGCACTGTACTCCCTCCCATGGTATCTGCAGAGCCCCCTGCCCATTCGGGGAGCAGAATCACACACCAAGAGGCTGTGGGGAGACTGCGACGGTAACCAAGGTGCTGGCTAGGGGGCGCTGTCCTCTCTCAAGCAATGTCCCAGGGTGGCAGTAAGAGGCGCCACACTGCAGGGAGCAGGGTGGGGGACGCTCTCCCCCGGCAGTCAGTGCTGGCCCCAATCCCCCAGAGCAGCAGTAGGGGGCACTGTGCTACAGGGAGTGTTTTTTGGGGGTAATAGGTAACATCAAGGTCTTGATTCCTTGTGGTTGTCAGAGGTGAAATGGGATCTCCCCTCCACCCACGAGCTAGGGCATTTGCCTCTTCCCAGATAAATTCCAGTTGGATAAATACGCTCTGCGTCCTTGTGTCAGGCCCACAGTTTCTGTTCACTTCCAGCCCTGAACGGGTGTGGTTTGGCTGACAGCTGTTGGCAAACTTCTGCGCTTTTACCTCAACACAGCTGTGCTTCTGCGCTGGGGGAAGTGACGGACGCATGCTGAGCGCCTAAGCACTTTGGGATCTCAGACACTCCAGATGGCTAGTAAATTAACTATTACAGGGGCTCACGTGCAGAGCAAGGGGGGCTGGGCAGATCCCAATGCCCAGGCCGGGTGTCAGGAGGTACTGGGGGGGGAAGGATTGCCCACACAGCTGGTAAAAATGTAACATGGGGCGCCACCATAGACACGTGGCTCTCGACTGGGGATTAGAGCCAGGTGACAAATTGATTTTCCCGGTCAGCGGCTGAACCAAAAAAATCCCAAACCACTTCGGTTCAGGTTGACCAAAACCAAAAAAACGGGGGAGGGGGGGGAATTCCACGTTGGGTGGAATTAAAGGACCCGTTTTCGAGTGAGTTAATGGGTGTTTTCACTCTGCGTTTCTAAACTATTCCATTGTGTTGTTATTTTTTCCGGACGAAGTTATTAGCCAAATTTGACCTCAATTCGCACACAGTTTCGCTCCATTTGAAATGGTCGTTTTCAGCAAATGAACTTCTCCCCCGCCCTAGAACTGCCCATCTCTATGGCTCCTGCCCCTTCTCGAAATCAGACCCTTTGGGAGTCTCAAATTGGGCCTTGAATCACTAGGCACCTTGGCAAACATAACCCCTAAGGGCCTGTTCCCCCCACAGTTACAGGGCACTTGTCTCTCCCCTTGCCCTTTGACGAGGCAGAGGCTGCCCAGCTGTTCTGAGAATCAGGCCCTGTCCCTTTAAGATTCCTCAGACTCCACTGCCCCACAGGAGGGGTTTAATAGCTTCCCAGCCTTTGTATCCCATGGTTCATTCCCCTCAGGAGCCTTGTTGCCAATGGCTGACTCCCCCTTCAACACATGACTGTAGGCCTCTAGCCAGCAGGGCTGGAAAACCCCCTCAAGCCCAGAGGTCCTGTGGCTGAGATAAGGGGACCCCACCCCAATGCAGATGACTTCACTGCATCTAGGCAGCCAGGAGCAGAGACAGGCAAAGGGTAAACATCCCCTCACAGCCAAGGCCTGATGAAACTTCAGTGAAATTCCTTCTCCCAGGGAGGAGGATTAACACTGCAGCTCCCAAGCAGCTGGTGCCCGGCTGCTGATCAGCCTGTGGCCAAAGCATCCGAGGGAGGCTGACTCCGTCAGCTGGGAGATTTGGAGGGGCACACGGTGGACACGTTTTTCCAGGATCCCGCCTCGTTCCAGTGGCATTGGGCCCCATTCCCAGCTCCCCTGTCCCTGTCATTGGGGAGAGGGACAGGGGATGGCTTTAAGCCCCCTCTGCGCTCCCCATATTCTGGGATCCTGGTGTAAGAACAGCCTTGAAGCTGCTGTAATTAACTCACGTTCTCTGCCCCATGGTCCCTGGGGGGCAGAAAATAGTCACAGCATAGTGTGCTCTTAGCACAAGCCTGATCTTTCTCTTCCACACTCCACACCTGCTGGGGAGGCCCCTTGTGCGGGGGATGTGGTGGGCGTTTCTGCCCCCCTCAAAGGCCTCTTCATGTTGCCAGAGTGGCCTATAGGGCCCCTTTATCTGCACACAGGAGCACAGGGCAGGATGGTGCGGGACAGGACAAGCACCTCCCATAGCCCAGGACAAGCTCAGAGATTTCACAACTGGCCCGCCCAGGTCTGGTTACCCGATGCTTGGAGCTGGGTTTGGACGGGCAGGGAACCCCAAGAGGCAGGCGGAAAGAGCAGGGGAAGGACTGGGATTGTCTGCCTAGCCATGGAAACAGGCCGTGCCAACGAAACCGCACCCCTAGGCAGTGCGACAGCCAGAGGGGGTTGCCCCAGGCAGGCAGGCCCACAGGGGCAGGTGCAGTCAGCGCCCAGAGGCCCCAACGGGACAATCAAATCACTCACCACAGCTGTGAACTGGTGGAATTCGGGGCGTAGGTCTGACCCCCGCAGGTGGATGTATGAACCTTTATTCCCCATCTGGTCGCTGGGGAGAGAATGCATGGGGGGTGGTTACGTCCAGCAAAGGAAGGGGATTCCCATCCCCTGTCCACAGAGACCTCCCTGACTTTTACCCAGTGGGCCTGGACCGCCCCTGACTATACTGCTGCATGGGAGAAAACAACCAGACCTGTCTGCTGCACGTGCTTCAGGGAGGCAGCTCCAAGGAGGAGGGCGAGCAGCGCTCAGTACTTCCACTGAAACCTCAGACGCTTCACCAGCAGGGCTGGGACCCCATTTCACAGATGGGGAAACCGAGGCACAGAGCAGTAACGCACCCAAGACTTGCTGAGTTGGGGATAGAACCCCTGAGTCTGACTCCCAGCCTCCTCCCCTGATCTAACCACTAGACCCCACGGCCCTCTCAGCTCTAACCACTAGTCAACGCTATCTTTTACAACATGCGCACACAGCCTGTTAGCTGCTTGCCGGCCACACTGCGTCCCTTTCCCAGGCAATCCGCCCTCCCCGGTGGTGGAGGCAGGAAATGTAGATGCTAACCAAGCTGGCTTTGCTCCTGCCCAGAAAAGACCAGCCTGGAGCCCTGTGCTGTCATCCCACTCAATCTCACCCGCGAAGATGGGCTAGGTCAGTACTGTACCATGACTTGAGACCTCCTGGAGAAACCCAGAAACTGTCGGGAGCGGAACAGAAGGCTCAGCAGGGGGCACTCTCCCCTGGCAGTCAGTGCTGGCCCCGATGCCTCTGTGCAGCACTAGGGGGCACTGTGATTCAGGGGGGCGGGGACTCAGCAGGGGGTGCACTCCCCTCGCACTCAGTGCTGGCCACAATGTCCCAGCACGGTGCTAGAGGGCACCGTGCTGCAGGAAGCAGGGTAGGGGCTCGGCAGGGGGCGCTCTCCCATGGCAATCAGCGCTGGCCCCAATGCCCCAGCGCAGTGCTAGGGGGTGTAGGAAGCGTGGACAAGATTTAAGCCTGAGATCCTGACCTCCTGGGGGTTGTTAAGAATCGACAGCTCTTCTCACAGGAGGAGCACGAAGCTCGGCTTCCTGGGAACATCTAGCGAATTCCCCCTGGCCGCAGGATTCTTGACTTCCTGCGCTAACCTTGTAACCAACTAACCAACTGCCACGCCCCAGAAGTGGCTGCATCTCAGCAGCAGGTGAGCCATCCCAGTACAAGCAGTGGCCATGTTCCACCTCAGAGGTGGCTGCATCTCAGTGGAGTGGGGGAGGGAGGAAGGGTGCAGTGATCCCTGGGGTTGAGATTTCATGATCTGAATGCAGCAGGCTGGAAAAGCAGCAGGGGCCCCTACAGGCCAGGCCCTGGAAAAAACAGAGACAATCCCCGCTTGTTGCATGGCATGGCCACCCAGGGGGCCCCAGGGCACGGCCCGGAGCACTCACCAGTAGTTGGGTGCCGAGAAGACGGTGATGCACTTGCCCTCGTGTGTCACCTCATAGCCTTCGGACTTGACTTCGTGGCTCCGGATGATGTAATCTAGCTGGTTCCGCTCCAGGAAGCTTTTGGTGACATCAGGCCCGAACTGACAGCTCACACCGCGCTTGCTGACCGACCGGCCGTTCTGGAAAGGCGGGGCGAGGGGATCCCGATGGAGTTACTGAACATGTCCTGACAGGGCTGAGTGGGGTGAGGGGTCTGCACGTGGTGGGGGGAGCAGAGATCCCACAGACCAAGGCTCACAATGCAGTGTGGACGCCCCTGCCGACTCTTTTGTGATCTCCCAGATGCAGCTTTCCTCCCTCCTGCCTGCCAGACCTTTGGGCTGGCACCAGGTGCTACAGACAGCCCTGGGCAATCTCCGCCCCCGATAAACCTCTAGGAGGCGATGGGGATTCAGTCTCCATGGCCCAACAGTCCCTCAGCCTCACAGCAAACAAGCTTGTGCCAGCGGAGACGGGAAAGCCCCTGCCAAGCATCTGAGCTGAGCCCAAACTTACCCCACCCCAGCCACTGTCTGAGGGTGGGGCTGACCCTGGGCTAGCACCAAGCAGAGCAGCAGATGGTTCCTCCCTCCCTCCCCCCCCCCAGCAGTGAGCTGTCAGCTGGGGTGGAGAACCAGCATCAGCTGCCAGGCAGTGGGGGGATGCCCACAGCTCCCGGGATGCCCCACCCCGGTGAGAGCCAGCAGAGGCCGCTCTGAGTCAGCCCACCCACATCCTCTACCCTGAGCAGTGACCCACTCGGCCTGTGATCGGCGCTTCTGTGCAGAAGTGGGGGTGGAGGACAACAGCCCGGCGCACAGCCCGGCGCACATCCCGCACCGGGAGCAGAACTAGTCGCGCGCACACGATGTGGGGGATTTCACCGGCACACTCACCTGAGGCTGCGGGTCGGACCACAGCAAGTCGCACATGGGACCTGCCAAGGAGGAGAGAGCACATGTCACTCCACGCGGGGTGTGCTGGGGGAGCGCCGCCCTCGCGGCCAATCCTACGCCAGCTATGGGCTGTGACTGAGTGAGCCTTCCTCCCCCCACCCTCCCCGGCTCAGTCCCCTGGGCCCCTCCAGCCCAGAGCTGACCCCCACCCTCCCCAGCTCAGTCATAGATTCATAGATATTAAGATCAGAAGGGACCATTATGATCATCTAGTCTGACCTCCTGCACAACGCAGGCCACAGAATCTCACCCACCCACTCCTGCGATAAACCTCTCACCTATGGCTGCACTACTGAAGTCCTCAAATCATGGTTCAAAGACTTCAAGGAGCAGAGAATCCTCCACCAAGTGACCCGGGCCCCATGCTACAGAGGAAGGCGAAAAACCTCCAGGGCCTCTTCCAATCTGCCCTGGAGGAAAATTCCTTCCCAACCCCAAATCTGGCGATCAGCTAAACGCTGAGCATATGGGCAAGATTCACCAATCAGATACCCAGGAAAGAATTCTCTGTAGTAACTCAGATCCCACCCCATCTAATATCCCATCACAGGCTATTGGGCCTATTTACCATGAATATTTAATTACCAAAACCATGTTATCCCATCATACCATCTGCTTCATAAACTTATCGAGTTTAATCTTAAAGCCAGATAGATCTTTTGCCCCCACTGCTTCCCTTGGAAGGCTTTTCCAAAACTTCACTCCTCTGATGGTTAGAAACCTTCGTCTAATTTCAAGTCTAAACGTCCTGGTGGCCAGTTTATATCCATTTGTTCTTGTGTCCACATTGGTACTGAGCTTAAATAATTCCTCTCCTTCTCCAGTATTTATCCCTCTGATATATTTATAGAGAGCAATCATATCTCCCCTCAACCTTCTTTTGGTTAGGCTAAACAAGCCAAGCTCCTTGAGTCTCCTTTCATAAGACAGGTTTTCCATTCCTCGGATCATCCTAGTAGCCCTTCTCTGTACCTGTTCCTGTTTGAATTCATCCTTCTTAAACATGGGAGACCAGAACTGCACACAGTATTCCAGGTGAGATCTCACCAGTGCCTTGTACAACAGTACTAAAACCTCCTGATCTCTACTGGAAATACCTCGCCTGATGCATCCCAAGACCGCATTAGCTTTTTTCACAGCCATATCACATTGGCGGCTCATAGTCATCCTGTGATCAACCAATACTCCAAGGTCCTTCTCCTCCTCCGTTACTTCTAATTGATGCGTCCCCAGCTTATAACTAACATTCTTGTTATTAATCCCTAAATGCATGACCTTACACTTCTCACTATTAAATTTCATCCTATTACTATTACTCCAGTTTACAAGGTCATCCAGATCCTCCTGTATGATATCCCGGTCCTTCTCTAAATTGGCAATACCTCCCAGCTTTGTATCATCCGCAAACTTTATTAGCACACTCCCACTTTTTGTGCCGAGGTCAGTAATAAAAAGATTAAATAAGATTGGTCCAAAAACCGATCCTTGAGGAACTCCACTGGTAACCTCCCTCCAGCCTGACAGTTCACCTTTCAGTAGGACCCCTTGTAGTCTCCCCTTTAACCAATTCCTTATCCACCTTTCAATTTTCCTATTGATGCCCATCTTACCCAATTTAACTAATAATTCCCCATGTGGCACGGTATCAAACGCCTTACTGAAATCTAGGTAAATTAGATCCACTGTGTTTCCTTTGTCTAAAAAATCTGTTACTTTCTCAAAGAAGGAGATCAGGTTGGTTTGGCACGATCTACCTTTTGTAAAACCATGTTGTATTTTGTCCCATTTACCATTGACCTCAATGTCCTTAACTACTTTCTCCTTCAAAATTTTTTCCAAGACCTTGCATACTACATATGTCAAACTAACAGGCCTGTAGTTACCCGGATCGCTTTTTTTCCCCTTTCTTAAAAATAGGAACTATGTTAGCAATTCTCCAATCATACGGTACAACCCCTGAGTTTACAGATTCATTAAAAATTCTTGCTAATGGGCTTGCAATTTCATGTGCCAATTCCTTTAATATTCTTGGATGAAGATTATCTGGGCCCCCTGATTTAGTCCCATTAAGCTGTTCGAGTTTCGCTTCTACCTCAGATACGGTAATATCTACCTCCAGATCCTCATTCCCATTTGTCATGCTACCATTACCCCTAAGATCCTCTTTAGCCTTATTAAAGGCTGAGGCAAAGTATTTGTTTAGATATTGGCCCATTCCTAGATTATCCTTAACCTCCACTCCATCCTCAGTGTTTAGCGGTCCCACTTCTTCTTTCTTTGTTTTTTTCTTATTTATATGGCTATAGAACCTTTTACTATTGGTTTTAATTCCATTTGCAAGGTCCAACTCTACTTGACTTTTAGTCTGTCTCACTTTATCCCTAGATGTTCTGACCTCAATAAGGTAGCTTTCCTTGCTGATCTCTCCCATCTTCCACTCCCTGTATGCTTTCCCCTGGTCCCCTCCAGCCCGGACCCTCCCCGGCTCAGTCCCCTGGGCCCCTCCAGCCCGGACCCTCCAGCATCCTCCCCAGCTCAGTCCCCTGGGCCCCTCCAGCCCAGACCCTCCCTCCACCCTCCCCGGCTCAGTCCCCTGGGCCCCTCCAGCCCCCTCCCCTAGGGGAGGATTTATTAAAGTGGACACTCTAGATCAATGGTTCTCAACCTTTCCATACTGCTGTACCCCCTTCAGGAGTCTGGTTTGTCTGGCGTGCCCCAAGTTTCACCTCACTTACAAACTACTTGCTTACAAAACCGGACATCAAAACACAAAGGTGTCACAGCCACACAGTTACTGAACAATTGCAGACTCTCTCATTTTTACTATCTAATTATAAACAAAGGCGATTGGACTATGAATACGGTACTTTCATTTCAGTGTGATACCCGAGCCCTGGTTTCCACTCCTGAGCCTGGTCACGCCAGGAGGAGGTGGAGCGACACCAACAATTCGGTTTTTCTCCACACTGAGTCTCTTATTCCTGTTCTTTGGCTGGCTGGCAGTCTTAGCAGAACATGAGACTTCCCAGAGATGTTAACCCAGCAAAGCCTGGTTCCCAAGGTTAGCATCCTCTCTCTGTACTAAACACCACAACTGGGCTGCTGCAGAGTCATTAAACGCCATTCGCAGACCCCGGTCTGAGGATAGCTCAAGAAGATTTTCTTTCCGGCTGGCAGAGAGCTAACATCTGACAAAACAAATGGGTTTTTTACCAACTTGAGTGGAGTTGTGTTAAACGTTGGGGAAATTACTTGAACTCAGATGTCAAGCGGGCCAAATGATCTACTGTTATTTCTTTAATTTTGCTCTGCTCAAATTTCCCCTGTGCAGACATCAGTGATGTATGCAGGAAGCAGCGGAAAACAGGTACAGCCTCTGTCTCTGCATCTGGACTTTCAGAATTCCTTGGTAAATGCATTTTGCCATAGAGATTCTGAATGTTAGTGTCATGGCCTAGCGTGGAAAAATTTAGATCATTCAGCTTGCTAAATATATCTGCGAGGCTGGCAAGTTGAGCTAACCACACGTTGTCAAACACAGAAGCAAGAGGGGATGAATGATCAGAAAGAAACGTGAGCTTCCGTGCCTAATTCAAACACTCTGGTAAGTACTTTCCCTCTTGAAAGCCAGTAAACCTCTGTGTGAAGCAACAGTTGCTGATGTTCAGACTCCACCTCTTTGCAAAGAACGGGAAACAGGCGAGCATTGAGTGGCCTAGACAGGAGAAAGTTGACAGTTTTGGCAGACTCATTTAAAACTTCATACAGCTCAGAACGCATCTCTTTTGAGGCAAGTAGATAGCACAGTGCAGGTGCTGCAAGGAAGGGTTTTCTGTCCTGATCATAACTATAAGTCTGTTCACCCTCCGGGTCATTGCAGCAGCCCCGTCAGGGCAGATGAAGTCAATTAAACATGTCCTCTCCAGTTGAGCTGGCCATGGGAGGCGTGTGAACTCCCCCACTTTTGGGGAGGCTAGCCCCCCAGCCTTGCCCCTTTTGCCTAAGGCCCCGCTCCCCCTCGCCTGCCAAAGCCCCAAGTCCCTCCTTCCCATGGCTGGAGGAGCCTGGCCAGCAGGCCTGAGCACTGGCCTGACCCCTGGCCTGCTGGCCAGCCCAACCAACCCCTAGCAGCTCTGGGCCGCCAGCCGGCCTGAGCCCTGAGCTCCAGGTTGCTGGCTGGAGCTGAGCCCCCGCCGGCTTCAGGGGAGAGGGGGAGCATGGGCGGGGCCTTGGGGCAGAGCGTGGGTGGGACCACAGCCTGGGTTAGAGGAGGCTTAGCTTCCCCTGGCCTCTGACACCCACAGCCGCCCATGGAGTTAGAATCATAGAATCATAGAATATAAGGGTTGGAAGGGACCCCAGAAGGTCATCTAGTCCAACCCCCTGCTCGAAGCAGGACCAATTCCCAGTTAAATCATCCCAGCCAGGGCTTTGTCAAGCCTGACCTTAAAAACCTCTAAGGAAGGAGATTCTACCACCTCCCTAGGTAACGCATTCCAGTGTTTCACCACCCTCTTAGTGAAAAAGTTTTTCCTAATATCCAATCTAAACCTCCCCCACTGCAGCTTGAGACCATTACTCCTCGTTCTGTCATCTGATACCATTGAGAACAGTCTAGAGCCATCCTCTTTGGAACCCCCTTTCAGGTAGTTGAAAGCAGCTATCAAATCCCCCTCATTCTTCTCTTCTGCAGGCTAAACAATCCCAGCTCCCTCAGCCTCTCCTCATAACTCATGTGTTCCAGACCCCTAATCATTTTTGTTGCCCTTCGCTGGACTCTCTCCAATTTATCCACATCCTTCTTGAAGTGTGGGGCCCAAAACTGGACACAGTACTCCAGATGAGGCCTCACCAATGTCGAATAGAGGGGAACGATCACGTCCCTCGATCTGCTCGCTATGCCCCTACTTATACATCCCAAAATGCCATTGGCCTTCTTGGCAACAAGGGCACACTGCTGACTCATATCCAGCTTCTCGTC